TCCCACCAGAATAGACTTTCCATGCCATGCTGAGGAATTTGGCTCCAAACCTGAGGACAGTAGGGAGCCACAGCAGGCTTTAGACCCGGTGACTCTCCCTGGTGGCCTCAGCGGGGAACATGCAGAAAGCGGTCCAGAGACCTCCAGAATTCAGACTGGTCAAATTTCAAAGGAAACATCGCAGAGCTACTGAAGACAGCCAACTTTCTGTTTTTCCATGTTGGAACCTTTAGAAAAACAATTAATTATAATTTCCTTTTTTGAAAGGATATTTTTAAACCAAAAGAAGTAGGAAGACAACCTCCAGATCAAGGCCATCTTTTCAGGCGGAACAAACGTGGTGTTGGAATAACTTGCACGTGGTCCTCGTATTTGTCATTTCACCCCAACAGTTGCGAATGTGGTTACGGCCGGGCCCCTGCGAGGGTGGGTCCTCTTTCCGGCATCCCTTCCTCTCTGAACCGCTGCTCTCCTGACCCCGCTGGACCGGGGGCGTCTCCTCACAGCCCCCAGCTCCGCTGGGCCCTCTAACCTGGCGGCTCTCAGAGGCCTACCGGGGGCACCTGGGCTGTCCAGTCCAGTGGGCCCAGTGGCCTGTAGCTGTGACAGGGCTCTCAGGCCACTAAGAGGGACAGACGTTTACGAGGACAGAGAAGAGGAGACAGCGCAGATGCCCCTCCGTCCCCCTGGGGAGACGAGGAACGTGCAGATATGAGTGTCGGTGGTGCATTCAGTCCTCCGGGCACAGGCCAGCAGGCTCCAACCACTGGAGGGGGAGGGGAGGGCAGGGCCAGCACGAGTGACAGGTCTGCACTGAACCTTTCGGAGTGTTCTAGAAGGAGACGCATCCTCACTTCCAAGCGCAGGCTGCACCGTGGACATTTTGCTGATTGGAGGGTGGGCACCATCGGTAATTAGCATTGAGATCCTGCACCCAGCCTCAGAGCTGGGAGGCCCGCGGTGACCACTGAGGGCAACTTGGCGCTGAAGAGAGACTGAGGCCCAGAGAGGGACAACTCTTGTTCAAGGTCACACAGGAGGGTTATACTGGAAAAACAGTTGCTCTCTTAGGTGACATGAACTTGTAATCTTGTTTCCAGCTTTCCTTTGCCTTTTAATCCCTTTTTGTCAAGAACAGATTTCAAGCTTACCTGTTTCCAGATGATTGCGTGTTTAAAACTGGATGCTCTGAATTAGTTGCCCACCAGCGCTACTCCATCGTGCTTTCATCGGCTGCGCTGTCTTCGATTGCTCCCCAGACAGGATGTGACTTGACACTTGCAACAGGCCCTGGCTGGGCACTGAGGACACTGAAGGCTCAAGTCTTTGCTCTCTGGAAACTCACAGCCCGGTGGGGCTCCGAGGCAAGGACGTGCAGCTTGTTACCAAAGGCCAGAAGAGCCAGGCACTGCAGGAGTGGCTTGACATAGGGGATCCATCCCGGAAAGCTTCCTGGAGGAGGTGGTAGCTGACGTGCTCACCAATGTTAGCGGGTATTGTTATTCACAGTAAGACGAAGGGGAGGAGAAGCTGGGAAGGCAACATGGGTGGGAAGCACATCCCCTTCCGAGGGAACAGCTGTGAGAAAAGGCAGGCAGTTCTCTGGGGAGGGTGGCGAGGGGGAGGCAGTGATGGGAGCTGAGGCTGGAGAGAGAAGCAGGGGACTATCCTGGGGGGGTGGAGCATCTAAGGGTTTTAAGAAGGGTGGGAACAGGAGCTGTGGGTTTGGGGAACCACTCTGGCAACCGCACTAGAGGAGGCAGGCAGCGTGAGGGAGGCGACTGACCAGCTGAAGGAAGGTTGTGGCCCCAGAGAGGGGCGGATGGGCTGATTACAAGGGCCTCAGAGGAAGGATGGCCAGGACTTTGAGTCTCTAGTGTCCCTGGTGGTCTTGCTCGTAACCAGGATGGACAGATGTGGAGGGGCACCTCACACTAGCCCCAGGTTTGGGGCTGAGCCCGTGTGTGACCGGGCCCAGAGCAGTGGCCACTCTGTGCTGCCATGATGGGGGGCCTGATGGAGGGAAATTGCAGGTGTGTGGGACGGGAGGGTTCCTGGCGGTGACCACTTGATACAGAAGTCCTGCTTCATAGCAGAGATGTGTCCAAGACTGTTGGCCCTACAATGGTCGTTGCCACCCTCCAAGCCACAGTGAAGAGCCAGGTGGGCCTGGTGGAAAGTTGGAAGGCCTTCCACACCACACGCCTGGGAAACGGTCCAGGCGTCCCAAGACTGCCAGCAAACACAGGGAAAAGTCCTCAGGGGCCTCCAGGGGCAGGTAGGAGTCGAACCTTCCCCAGAGGCAGGTGCCGTGGGTCCAGGGCACTGCCCCAGCAGAGCTCAGAGCCCAGGGCCTCCCTGCCTGACTCTCTTTGGGATTGCTCAGCAAAAGAGAAAAGACGGGGATCCACAGCGGGCCTGTCCTGGGAAGGCGGTGTTCTGCTAGGACAGGCCTCCTGCAGGTAGAACTAAGACATCGCTGTGTAAAAAACACACCTGCACACACTCATTCACTGCCGGTGCTAGAATAAGCCATTGTCCTTCCTGCAGGGCCATCTGGTGATATAGTCAAGAGCCTTTAAAAAGCAAATCCTCTGGGAGCTGGCCCCGTGGCCGAGTGGTTAAGTTTGCGCGCTCCGCTGCAGGCGGCCCAGTGTTTCGTTGGTTCGAATCCTGGGTGCAGACATGGCACTGCTCATCAAACCACGCTGAGGCAGCGTCCCACATGCCACAACTGGAAGGACCCACAACGAAGAATATACAACTATGTACCGGGGGGCTTTGGGGAGAAAAAGGAAAAATAAAATTAAAAAAAAAAAAAAAAAAAGCAAATCCTCTGTGAAGTTACCGTTACTCTGCTAGGAGCACCTAAAGTGAATTATTAGAGATGTGCAAGGAGGATGTTCATAGCAGCGTATTTGTAAATTATCTAGACAGACAACAATGAAGAATTAGGTACAAAAGTTATATATAGACATGTGAACAGTGGATTATTCTGCAATCATTAAAAAGTGGGCTATAGAAACATATTTAAAGATAGGTGAATTGTTCATTGCGCCTTAGTGAAAATGCAGATGATGGAACCTGACACATGACGCCAATGGTTTAAGGTATGTATTATGAATAGAGAAAAAAGGCTGCACAAATTCACACTCGAATGTCAGCTGTGGTTTCTCCGACTTGGGATTCTCTGTATTTGATCTCTTCTCTTTTCTCATGAGTGCTTTTCTGTGTTTGCAAACTTATTGACAAGGAACATGTATTATGTTTGCCATCAAGACAAAGAGAGCTGTGTGTGTGTGTGTGTGTACGTGTGTGTGTATGTATTTCAATGGCCCGGAAAGAAAAGACCAAGTTCAGGTAAAGACCCATAGTGACTCATTGCTTCCCCAAAGGAGGTTTCTCAGTCCTAGCTTGGAAATTACTACCGAAAACGCTGGATGTTTAAAGCCTGATTGGGCTCCTGTTTCCCCAGAGCAGAAGGGTCACCCATGAGGAGCTTGCTACATGTGCGGGCCTTGTCCCACCCAGGCTTTCTTGTAACCATAATCTGGGAGAGATCTTCTCCCCCCACCCCAAAAATGTCTTTTGTGTGTGTGGGGTAAAACATACATAAGATAAAATTTACTCTTTATCATTTCAGTGGCATTAAGTACACGTACATTGTTGTGCAACCATCATCACCGCCCATCTCCAGAATTTTCATCTTCCCAAACTGAAACTCTGTACCTACTAAACAATAACTCCTCATCCTCCCCTCCCTCCAGCCCCTGGTAACCACTGTTCTACTTTCCTTCTCTATGACTTTGAATTTGACTAATCTAGGTACCTCATGTAAGTGGAATCATGTATTATTTATTCTTTTGGGTCTGGCTTATTTGGTTTAACATGTATGTTTTCAAGATTCATCCATGTCACAGTATGTGTCAGAATTTCATTCCTTTTTCAGGGTGAATAAAATTCCACTGTAGGTATAGACCACATTTGGTTGATCCACTCCTCTGTTGATGAACATTTGGGTTGTTCCTACCTTTTGTCCATTGTGAATAATGTTACTGCGAACATGGATAGGTACTATCTGCCAGAGTCCCTGCTTTCAGTTCTTTTGGGTATGCACCTAGGAGTGGAATTGTTGGGTCAGATGGTAATTCTGTTTAATTTTTTGAGGAGCTACCATGCTGTTTTCCACAGCAGCTGCACCATTTTGCCTTCCCACTAGCAATGCATGGAGGGTCCAGTTTCTTCACATCCTCACCAATACTTGTAAGCTTCGGGGGTTTTTTCCTTTAAATAATAGCCATCCTAATAGGTGTGAAGTGGTAGTTCATTGTGGTTCTGATTTGTTCCCCTAATGTTTAGTGACATTGAACATCTTTTCATGTGTTTATTGGCCATTTGTATACCATCTTTGCAGAAATGTCTATTTGAGTCCTTTACCCACTTTTTGATAGGGTTTGTTGTTGTCAAGTTGTAAGAGTTCTTTATATATTTTCCATATGAGAGATCATTTTTTGTATATATAGTATTCTTGGGTCATATCACTTGTTAAAATATTCATTTATTACTTTTTAAATTTGGAAAGCACATAAAGTAAAAAAGAGGGGTACAAGAAGCATTAGTGATTACATTCTTTGACTTAGCAATTCCACAGCTGGGGATTTGTCATAAGGCATTTTCGTGAACATGCACACAGGTTTAGCTACAAGGATATTCACCATAAAAGAAAAAGGAAGCAAGGAAGAGATGGAAAATATAAACAGCATCAATGTCCAATCATAGTATATAAGTTAAATAAAACACAAACCCCCCAATACAGGGCTGTGTGATTACAAACAACATAGTAGACGAACCCTCAGTGATGTGGGGACACTTATAACACAGCCATGCATGAAAGGAGCAAGGTGCAAAACAATATTTACACTATAATCCCAATTTTGTTTCAAACAGATGTTCAATTGTGTCAAGAGGAAGGAAAAATGCCAAAATGTTAATCTCACACGGTGGGATCAGGTTGTTTTTATTTTCTTCTTCGTATGTTTTTAATTGTCCAAATTTTCTGCACTAACGCGTGTCGCTTTACAGCCAGAAAAAGAGAGTTATTTTGTTAAGGTGCTTACAGGTGTATGGACCGTGTCCTTCCGATTACGGAAAAATACATATATTCACCAGAAAAAGACTCAAGACGAGAGTCGACGCCGAGCTCTCGGCCGTGGTTTGCGCTGTGAGAGCCTGAAAGATTTCTTATTTTCATTTGTACTCTCCCAGGTTTTTCAAATTCTCTGCTGTTTTGTTATCTGGTTAGGGAGAAGGAAAAAAAGACAAAATTGTTATACTTTAAAAAAATGAAAATCTAAAGGAACGACAACGTGAAGTAAACGAAACTCAATTCCAACATCTCGCGCCAGCGAGCGAAGGCCGCGGGACGCGGAAACTGAATCAGCACCGCCACCGCCTCCGCACAGAGGCCCCGCCCACGCCCCGCCCCCGGCCGCGTAAGGCTCCGCCCAGGTCCCCGTCCGCTTGGCGGCGACGCTACGTCCGCACCGCCCGCCGCCCTGGCAGCCGGAGACAGCGCGCAGAGGCCCCGCCCAGCCGCGTGGAGGCCACGCCCCCAGCCCGGGCCCCGCCCCATCGGCTGCGCCGCTGCGTTCGCGCCGCCGCCCGCCGCGCCCTGGCCCGCGCTTCCGGAGCCGGCCGCGCAGAGGCCCCGCCCCCGGGCACGTAGGGCCCCGCCCGGCCCCGCCCCCTCGCCGCCACGCTGCGTCCGCGCCGCCCGTGGCGCTGGCCCTGGCTTCCGGAGCGGGACGGAAGGGCGGGCGGCTGGCGGTGCCGAGGCCGGAGCCGCGTGGGTCCCTTCGGGGAAGGGCGCGGCTCCCCGCCTTGGTCCCGCGTGCGTTTCCTTCTGTTCCCCTCGTTCATGTCCCCACCCGCCCCCAGGTGCGCAGGACCTCACGCAGTGGCCGCAGTGGAGGCCGCACAGCCGGGGGACAGAGATCAAAGCGGGGCGGGCCCGGCGCGCCACCGGGACGCGCGCTGCTGGCCCGCCCGGCCAGGAGGGAGAGCAGGCGGATCAAAGCGCGCGGTGCCGGGGCCGGCCTTTCCGCGCGAGCGAGGCCGGGACGCAGCGCCCCTGGGCAGGACGCGAGGCTCCCTGTAAGCCAGGGCGTCGGCTCTCGCCCTCCACGGGGAGGAGGCCGGGCCCCGGCGAGGCGTCCCACTCCCGCCCTGGCCAGGCTCGGTCCCCGGTCAGGGATTGCAGAGCCCCCCTTCTGTCGGCTGTGACTCGGGCCTGAGCTGTGTGACTGTGCCGCATCAAAGTTTGAAGGCCCAGCGATCATAATAGCAGCTGCCAGTTATTGGGAACCACGTGCCAGGCAGGCCGGGGACCTATGCCTTTGTGTCGTCGCATTACTCCTCGTAGCAGCGCCATTAAATGCTGGTATGGCCCACCACCCCCTTTCGCAGATGGAGGGGCTGAGATCAGAAGCAGTTTGCCCCAGGCCTCTCGGGAGAAGCGGCACAGCCTGCATTTGGGCCGGATCCCTGATTCTGCATCTGAGGCTTTTACACTCTGCTAATCTGGCTCCTGTGACAATAGATTCAGGGGGCGCAGCTGGCTGCCAGCTCTGTTGCTTACCTTAGCTCACTGCTGCCTCATCCCCAGTAGGAAGACCCTTCTACCCAGAGCTAAGCCCCACTTCCCATTCTGACGATGCCCAGGACCTGTGAGCTCTATGCCAGGAGCCTGAAGATTCCATGCCAAGTTAGCACCCACCTGTCACACGGGGTCTCCTTGCTCAGGTGATGGGAAAAGACACGGTCTGTCCAGCATCTGAGGAGAGGCCGTGAGAAAGTGGGTGATTTCAGAACGCCCAGTTTGTTGGACCAAGTCTGCCATGCCGGTGTCATGAGGCTGGGAAGTGTGGGTGAGCGCATTTCCCGCGACGTTCACCAAACCCCAGCTACCCCAAGGCTGCCTGCCTCTCTCATCTCCACCCTCTCTCCCTGGGAGACACGGAGACGGGCATTTTGGCTATCCACGTGGCTTTCCAGGTTGGTATAAAAGGCCGAGTGATGCTGGACATTGGCGGCAGACCAGACACGAGGCCCAGCACAGGGTGCCCACAGCAATCCAGATTTTCCAGCCTCCATATGTATGTACCTCGGGGAGGAAGCTGCAAATTTGAATTTTTTTGTTTTTGGCTCCATATTAAAGAACAAAGCATGGGAACTGGACAGGCCCCTCTGTAAACAGAAAACACATGTTTTCTGAGAGAATGGGCTCTTCCTTTCCTGGTTTCTTCCCCCGTGGACAAGGCCTCCTTAGACCTGCTGGCTTCGAGAACAGGGAGGCCTTGGACCCCAGGCTGAGAGGAGGTGATTCTTTGTCCCCACTCAGCGAGCAACACTCACCTTAAATGGGGGCAGGAACAGGGCATTAATGGGTCTATTCAGTAGTGGGGTGGGCCTGGGGTGTGGTCCCAGGAAGGAAGTCCCGCAGGGACCTGAGCCCTGAGGTTGGTTCCAGGAAGGAAGCTCCTCAGGATTGAGTCAGGGGGAGGGAGAGTCTGGACCATTTGTATCCTCCAAGCAATTACAAATCATCTTGGGCTCTAGGTGAGCTAGCTTCAGACGAATGTGTGCGCCTTGGGGTCTGCCAGCCACACCCAGGGGCAGAGACCTTTCTAACTCAGAAGAGAGGCTGGGGCCTGATGTCTACAAAGAGCAGTCATGCTGAGACTGAGTGCCCACTGCTGTGTGACTTCAGGCAAGTTTCTTAACCTCGCTGAACCTTAGGTGTCTCGTCTGTAAGATGGGGATAACAATATTTGGTCATTGAGGATTAAATAAGATAACGGGTGTCTTAGATATGTAGGAGCCAGTTAATGACTGAACGGATCAAACTTTGTCTTAGTTTTAGTGCTGAGCTGTTCCCACATCCCTAGAGTGGCCTGAGAGCCCTCTACAAGTATGTGGGATGCCTATACTCCAAGGAGCACCTCCACTTCCCCCGTCCTCTGCTGGGCCCCGTTGAGTGCCAGGGATCCGGCTGTCTCAGGATTGTTCCTTTGAATCCCCCCAACAGCCTGATCTTTGTCCCCCAGGGGAGATTAGATTTGGGGAAATAACCAGACGTCCTTTGGGCCAAGTCTGCTGAGTAGGTGCGTGGTTGCCAAGCCAGGGCCCCCTGTCCTGGGTCAGAATGTATCGCAACTGTAAAGTCAGGAGACCCTGTGGCTCCCGACTCTGAAGGCGGGTTAGAAGGAGAATCTGGACCAGATCATCTGGATGGGCCGCCACTGGTGTTGGTGTGTGTGAGAGTGCCAGTGTGCGTGTGTATAAAGACACAGAGATCGTCACACACGCTCAAGCTCGGTGGATGAACCAAACCAAAGCCAGACTAATTAACATGAGGCTGCCTTTCATCCCTCAGCCCACAATCTGATTTTCATGGAAATCTTTGTGGGAAAATTCCAAGCGCTTCTGATAGAGGCAGATGCGTGAGAGTGAGGCAGTAAGTCGTCTTGGAAGAGTGCGAGACTTCGAGGTGGGGGTTTCCTCCCAGCTCGGCCCCTAACCAGCTGTGTGACTCCTTGCTGGCAACTCCTTCTCTGTAGGCCTCAGTTTTCCCATCTGAACGATGGGGGTCACGATGCCTGTCCTTCTTATGAGAAGCAAATGGGGGGAATCTGGATAGGAACATGCCTAGAAGTCCTGACCTGGTGCGTCAAGGACCTTAAATGCATGGACACCCTTTGACCTAACACGCTTATGGGAATTTACCCTCAGGAAAGCAACACAGCCGTACGTAGAAGTGTCAGGATAAAGCTGTTCCCAGCAGCATGATTTACAGTAGCAAACACTTCAACGGGACAACATGTCTGACAACAGTGGCAAAAGTGATAACCCACCCAGGATGAACTCAGCGCGATGCTCCAGGCAGGAAACACACGGACCACGCCCACACGGTGGGTCTACCTCAACCTGTGCCAGTGACACAGCTCGTTAAAAATTTAAAGCATTCACAAAGTTCTGTTCGCAATAGCCAGAACATCAGAAATAACCCAACTGTCCACCCACAGATGAGTGGGTAAACAGACTGTGGGCGCCATACGATGGGATACCGTAAAACAATAAGGCGTGGGCTGGTGAGAGACTCAGCGACGTCCATGAGTGTCAGTTATGCTGAGCAAGAGATCCTACTCTCTGATCCCGCTTATGTTAAATTAAATAAAGGTAAAACTAATCTACAGTGGTAGGATTCAGATGGGTGTCTGCCTGGGACCTGGGAGGTAGGGCCCGCCTGCAAGGGGGACTAGGGGACATTTTGTGGTGATCGTATTTTTTTTCTTGATTGTGGTGCTGGTTACATGGGGGTATGCATGTGTCAAAACTCGTCGAACAGCACAAGTGAAAGAGATCTTCATGGAAATTACACCTCAGTGAAGTTGATTTAAAAAATTAGTTGATATTTAGATTTTATTTTTCAAATCCCATAGAGAATAATACTTAATGACACAAAATACTCACAACATATTAAGCGAAAAGGATCTGAAATAACCTATAGTATGATCATACAGACATGTCTAGTACATATAGTATATGGTTTGGGAAAGATACCAGAAGGACTTCAAGAAAACATACCTGGTAGTTATCTCACGGGTAATTTTTGTTTTCTTTTTTGTGCTTTTCTGTATTTCCAAATTTTCTGTAACAAACACTTTTCTTTTTATAAACAAATTAAATAAAAACAAATATCTCTTTTTCTTTTTTCCAGCTGTGGCAGGTCAGGGACGCAGAGCTGGGTCCAGGACTGGGCTGCGAGGATGCCCCGGTCCAGCGAAAGGGAACCGCCTGGAAGCTGGTAGCAGAGTGAGAGGCGGGGCCCCTTCCCTGGCTCTTTGGCCGTTTCTGGGCTGGGTTATTCTCGAGGGCTGCCGTGCCCACTGGGCTCTGCCGATGAAGGGAGGAGGCCTGTCCCTGAACCAGCTGGGGTAGCCGTGAAGCCAGACCCTCCCGTTTGGAGTGCCGCAACCCTGTAGCTCTGAGCACCTCTCCCAAAGGTACCAGTCTCCCATGCTGCCCGGGAAAAGGGTGGGGAGCGGGGTTCTGGTCTCTCTGCCCCTGTGCCACTTTCCCCACCGGAGGAGCCCCTCCTTGGTGAGTTGCAGGGACTGGGGGGAGGGCGGGGGGGGCAGACCCTGTGCCAGAGCCAGAGCACTCTAGCGCATCTCCTGCCCGGCTTGGCCTTGTGAGGCTGGGGCTATTGTTTACCGCCACCACTCTCTCCAAACTGGGGAAACTGAGGCTCAGAGAGAAATGACTTGCCCAAAGTCCCCGGGCCAGTAGCCAGTGGAGCTCAGACTTGGCCTCATGCCTGGATTCTCACCACCTTCAGACTTCAGTTCCTGGGAGCTTCTGGGCCCCAAATAGCTGGTTCATGGAGCGCAGATTTGGGGGCAAGGGCTGTGTTTCTCCTGTGTCTGTTGTCTGCTCTGGGTTCTTGTGCGATTTGTAATCTACTGCACAATCAGGGGGCCTGTCGGCTGGGCTTGGAGGTTAAAGGTGAGCTTCTTCGAGGAGAGGGCCCCGCCTGCTTTGGGGGCTGCTGGGACCCCAGCATCGCCCTCTCCCTCCGCCATCGGGCCCCCTCCCTCTAGCCAGCTGGCCTCACAGAGGTGCCAACAAGGAGACCAGATTGGCTTGGTTGCTTTTCCCTCCCTGACTGAAGGGGTTCTGCAGCAGACTGAGGAAACGAAAAAGAAGAGCCTGAAACTGTTACAAAAAAATTTTCTTTAACCAAGTCACAAATGAGAAAGATGAGGCAGCAGCAGGTTAAGGACACTTTGTGACGTCGAGTTTTTATCACTCGGCACTTCCATGACCGCAAGTGTCACAATTTATGGTCCCTGTGGCCAGGCAACCGCAGAGCCCGTGGATTTACCCCCGCGTGTGGAGCTGCGCTGAATGCAGTCGGCACACAGGAGCCCACTGTTGGGGCCGCAGCCGTGCACCCGTCCTCCTGCCGGCCTCGCTGCAGTTTCTGTTAAAAAGTAAGACCCTGGGGTAAAAGAAAAGAAAGCTT